CCTTCCCTCCATCCAGGACTTATACAGGTCTAGGGTCAGGAAAAGAGCTGCTAAAATCTCTGCAGACCCCACACACCCTGCACATAAACTGTTTAGAGTTTTACCTTCAGGCCGCCGCTACAGAGCAGTTTACTAAAACCAGCCGCCACAGAGACAGTTTCTTCCCCCAGGCTGTTTCTCTGTTGAACATTCAATAGAGTACAAAACAACAGCATACAGATGTTGCAAATGCACCTTTTTATTATATGTGTATATAGTACATTGTAAATATGTATATTCTGTAATACAAAAACAAAACCAAAGAGCAAAGTGTACCGGAGTCAAATTCCTTGTTTGTATGTACGAACTTGGCAATAAAGCTGATTCTGATTCATGAAACTGATGGATGGAGAGAGAAGGCTGGATGATAGACGGATGGGGAATGACTGGAATAAATTGTTGAACGGATGTGGAAGGATTTGGATGGATGGATAGCTTTGCAGTCAAGAAGTTCTGGGTTTGATCCCTATCCCACCCACACAGTCGTGCCCTTGAGCAAGCCACTTAACCCCAATCTGCCAAGTGAACTATGGGAAAGTGCTTTGAATAGTAGGTACATATACCAGTTCAGCCCATTTATGGTTTATGGATGGACAGATGGAAGGAAAGATATTGAGATAGGAAATTAAGTCCGCAAATGCAATTCTGAACAATACAAATTCCATACGTTTCCAAAGTTTTTCCAGACTGCACAGGAATACCAGGTTCATCATCAAATAACAAAGGCCCTAGTTTTTGTTTGTGTGTCTAAGGTTTGAAAAATAAATGACAGGTTTGTTCACACCAGCACTTTATATTGACAGTATAATACAGCTCTGGTTCAGATTAACAGTAGAAAATATTTTAAATCATTAAAAATTTTAAATCATGCTGCATTTCCTGCCAGATGTTTAGAAAATTAAAAACATTTTTATTTCCTATACCAGTTATGTGATTCACTTATCTTAAATAGGAAAGATCTTTGTCTAGTGATCATATTTCGATGATAAAATCGAATGTTTTATTAATTTCGAGCTGCTTTTTTAAAAAACCGGTTAGTGAAAATTCAGATTTTCTGTCTGCAGTTAAACGCACCACCGACGGAAGCCGACTATAACGGCTGCCGCCATTTAAAATCCAGTCCGTACACGACGGGTTTTTAACCCCAGCCGTTAAATGCTTAAACGGTACAATGAGAAATTAAACCAAATTCAAAGAACAGGATTTTAGGTGTCGACGTTTTCTCGAAGAAATGACGAAGAGGATACTAACCGACCGACTGAGCTAACATCATGCTAGCTCAACCAGATCATCAGTGGCGGGAAATGGAGAAAAAATTAAATGTGACTGTGATGAAACGTGGTTATTTTCCAAGCATATGTCATGTTTTAGCTTGCTGTTTGATATTAGTATCAAAATGGAAATTTAAACAACGCAGAAGTTAGCTTCTGATTTAGCACGTTATTAAAAGGGCCATTTCACAGTTTTTAAGAAATATGGACTACAATTAATCAGCCATAGCTCAAAGTCTGAATAACTACAACTGGTCTAACGTGGACTTAATTATTATACAATAAAAGCAGATTCTATTAAACACAGATTTCATCCATCGATTCCTGTAATCATCAATTTATCATTCTTCTATTCTCCATCTGTCCATCCATCCATGGGTGGCAGATTATGCTGTAAAATTGGGGGAGCAAATTAGGAATGATGGGCACCACCCCATAACCACCATGCTTCAACTGCTAAGCATCTATCCATCCATCCATCGTCTGTGGTTTTTACAGGTTCCACATTTCAAGCCTGACTACTGTAGACATTCAACAGATGCATTTGTTTACAAACACAACCAGAACCAAAAAAAATACACATAAGATGAGAAGATGATGGTGTTTGGAGCTGGTCGATGGTTCATGATTGACAGATGTACAAAAGCGTTTTTCACGATGCAGACTATAGTCTGGGTTAGAGGTCATGTTCTTAGCTAATTTTACCATATCGTTATGGGTGAAGGATTTCCAAAATGTTTCGACTGGCTAATGCACAATCTTACTTTTATACAATGTGGCGTTACAGCGCTGCAAAAAATGATCTCTGAGGTATAAAACAAGAGAAGAGCTTCTTTATACCTGGTTCCATAAATGGAAATGCCTTTTCACTGAAATTTATGACCATTTATCTCAACAATTGTTCATTTAACTGGCATGATTTTACTTGTTGAAATATTTAATTGTTTCCTTTCCATACATGTAATTGGATTTATCATGGAAATTTGATGCCACAGGCACTTAAAGAGCATTTTAATCAGCCTGTTGGATAATGTCATAAATATCATGTTGGTGCAGCCCAGGGTTGTCTGCATTGTCAGAGTACTTTAATATGTATCTATTTGGTATCTTTTCAGGGCCGTAAAGCCACTGTAAACCTATTTAAATTGTTTGAAAAAGACTGAGAACTTGGGAATAAGACTCTGGAAAAGTATGAATTTTGGACTAGGAACCCTGAAAAATGTCTGACACTAAAGCAGGTTTTTAGAAAACAATATTATTCAATTTACTTAATTTTTAACCAGGATCATTATGACTTTTTCCACTTTCCCAGCCATTTTAACCACTATTTATCATGGCCAGCCTAAAATCTCAGAACTAGAACTTATTAGAGATGTTTTAACTGTCCTGAAGGCAAATTCTGCTCCAACAGATTCTTGAAGAAGTTGGTTATAATTTTTGAAAGCTCTATTTTATTCATGAATGTGCAAAAAAAGACACATTTTTACTTTTTTTTTTTTTTTTTACCAATCAGAACAATTTAAGTATAGTGTATCCTAATTGGATAATGTGCAACGTTAGTGCAGGTGTCCATCAGGCACAAAGAAGGTGACTTTTAAACAATGATACAAAACAAGTTTAGTTCTGTGAAACTTTTTGGTTTAAAAAAAAATGCACCTCAAACATTTCATTAAGGCCTTAAAATAACCAATAACTCACATCCTCAGACTCGAAGACGTGGCAGATCATCCTGTACATCCTCCTGTCATCGTGGTTCATGTCTGTCTGCTCAGATGTTTGGTCCAGGTTTTCCTGAGCGCTGTGGGACCTCACCATCTTGCCCCTCGCCATCAGAACCACCATGTTGCCGATGTCAGCTATGTAAGATATGGTCCTCAACGGCAGGTCCATTAAAGCCTCCTGATGGCCAGAAATCACATGAGATGCTTGAGATGAGTTGAGGGTTCCTCAGCCACCAACAATGTGGAGATATGGAAGGCACCATTCTGCTAATATATAGCCTTCATTATAGCACATACTGTTAGTTTAAAGGCAGACTAAGCAGATTACCACCTGGAAATTATTCCAGTAACTCAATTCATAATGTGAAACATGTAAATTGCATAGATACTTCACACACAATGATAGGTTTCAAGTTTAGCTGTCTGTTCATTTAGACTATTGAGGCTCATAAAAACCCAGAAAAATACAGTATAACATAAGAGCAATAAAATATGGTTTTTAATCCAGAGAGCGTGCTGACTGGACAGTTGTCCAGCAGTCAGCGACACCCTCTATGAGGAAGGTAAGCCACAAAAGCTTATTGCTAATTTAGCATGCTGTTTGAAAGCACATTAATGGAATGTTAAATGAGATTAAAAATGTACACAACCATCAAGATAGGCCATAATTGCCCAAATTAACAAATAATTGCTCGAATTATTTCACTGTGTTGCCATAATATAACATTTCAGTCAGTCAGTCATTTTCTACCGCTTCTTCCATAGTGGGTCGTGGGGAAGCTGGTGTCTACCTCCAGCAGTTTATGGGTGGGAGGCGGGGTACAACCTGGACAGGTAGCCAATCCATCACAGGGCAACACACAAACATACACGACAAACAATCACACACACATACACTCATTCACACCTAAGGACAATTTAGAGAAACCAATTAACCTAACAGTCATGTTTTTGGACTGTGGGAGGAAGCCGGAGTACCCGGTGAGAACCCACACATGCACGGGGAGAACATGCAAACTCCATGTAGAAAGACCCCCGGCCGGGAGTCGAACCCGGGACCTTCTTGCTGCGCAGCAGTGCTACCAACTGTGCCACCGTGCAGCCCTGTAACATTTCAGTTAAAACTTATTATTTAATCTTATTTAATATTCACATTTTCTGAGAAAATGTCTGCCTTTCATTAGCTGTAAGCCATAATTATCAAAATTAACATGAAAAGCTTGAAATATCACATTGAAATCCTGATTTAATGATATATTTGTAGACAGACATTAAAATCTGGCCCTGTTGGGAATCTTGATATTTGTACCTTTTAACCTGAAGACATTTAAAGGACTAGAAGCTAAATAGGCAGTATGGTAAAGCTGCCTTTGTTTGCTCATTGCTGATCATAAGGTGATCACAGTCAGGGTCTTTATGCCGTTATGCATCTATAGATGTGTGTTGTGGTGCATTTCTCTGCATTGTCTGCTTTGTCGTCTTCTTGGACATTTGTAGCGTTACTCTTCTCTGATTGGCTGCTCTGTCTGTAGCCGTTCTGTCACTGGGACCATGGTTTGTTAACCTGAACTCAAATGTTTTCCTCAGAAGAGGAATGCAGTGTGCATCCAACAGCCTTTTTACCTGCGTGTCTGCATTGAGGACTTTGATCCTCTGTGTGGACATGAACAGGTCGACTTCAGCTGTGGACGGAGTCTCACTGTCTGGACTCTGCAGACACACAGGAACAAAGAAAAGAGGTAAAAAAATATTTAAAAAGAAAGCAATGACAGACAAGATCTTCTGGTTGTAGATCCCACTCAAATTTCTCATCAGAGGAATCATTATTTCCATACATACAATCAGCCAGCAACTCACCTTCTTCCTGTTCTTCGCCTGTTTCTGAGCAGCCTGCAGTGATCAGAAAGCAGAAAATATTCTCAGAAAAAACAGATTAAGGAAGCAGTTTCAGGTCGGAAGGACAAAAAACCCCAGTCGCCTTATCCTCGGAAGACTGTCTCTATTCCAAATGCCAAAGAAAGGGACAAAAGAAGCTTAAAGGTTTGTGTTCTCTATGTTCTCGTGTGTGTGGGAGGTCAGCGATGTTGTAGTCTGCCACGTTTGACAACAGCAGAATGCCGGCGGCCTCTGCAGCCGACATCATCAGAAGTTTCCTCTACATCAGCGTGACACAAAGCAGCCTGAAGACAGAAGAGGGACCACATGTGTTTGAGGCTGTTGTCTCACCACAGCCGGCAGAGTCAGGAGGTGCCAAAATTAACAGAGAAATCTCTGCAGTTAAAGCAAAGCTTAACCATAATTAACAAGAATTAGATTTAGTAAGAGAGTAGTTTTTCAATTTGAGTTCCACTGAGAGGTTTCCATCACTCATTACATAAAGATATTTTTAAGGATTTGATTTTTAAAACAAGTATTAAGTGCACATGTTGGATTTTCTCTAATCAATTCATGGTTGAAATTAGAGCCAAGATTTATACATACAACTCTCTCCACCACTAATATATGATTAAATGTCACTAAGCAAGTTGCACCATGACCATGCAGCAACTCTGCAATAGTTGTTGCAGGATGTTTGACCTCTCCTCTTAGCAGAATTGGAAGGGTTCATTTAATTTGGTTAAATGGCATGGACTTGTCTCCTGAGTGTAGCCAGTCAATTCCCAGTAAAGGGTTATGGTTGGGTCCATTACAGAAGCTTAATGTTTACCTCATTTATCTAATCCAAAACCAGTAAGGATGTGGGATGAGAGTTCTGGTTTATTGTCCCATCTAGTCCAAGTTTCAACCATCTAGATGAATTCGAACAAATGTGAAGCTCCTCCTCCTGTATTATTCCATTCACTTTGTGCAGTGCATCAGTACCACTGGTAGTGAAGTAGGCCCACAGCATGATGCTGCCACCACCATGCTTTACAGTTGTTAGTGTTTGTGGGTTTGACTCCTTCAAACATGCTTCCTGTCATTGTTGGCAAACAGCTTATTCTTCTTCTTGTCTGACCATAAAAACCTCCCCAGAGGACATTTTGCTTGTCAACGTGGGCAGCTAAAACATTCAGTCAAGGTTGAAGCCTATTTATCAGTCAACAGTTTCTCACTCTTTCACTGTGGACATTTAAATCTGGTTCTGGAGAGATTACTAAGTGATAATCCAAAAACCTCAATGCTGATGAAGACCGTCTGTTCCAGGAATCCAACCAACTCCACTGATTCAGCCAAGAAGAAGACTCAAACATCCAATCAGAATTGTTCTAGAAGCTTGTTGATGACTACAAAAGTGTGTGGTTTCTCTTCAACATGCTAAGTCACACCTAACCAAATATAGTGGAGGTGTATGTATATATTTGAGCATGCGTGTATAAACTCATTATATTCAAACTTGTTTGTTTTTAAAAAATCATTATCGCTCAGATAAATCATTGTTGTGACATTCCCGCCCATGATTGGACGCCTGACCACAGCTGCAGATACAGCCTCACTGTAGAGCTGCAAATCATGCATTTAACTGAAAATAACAGACTCTGCAGAAAATGAATTTAATTATTTATTAATACTTTTCAAGTTTTCTTTTGCAAAAACATTTTGAAAACCATGTATGTGTTCGTTTTACTTCACAATTATGTGCTACTTTTTATTGGTGTATAATTTAAATACACAGGACTTCGTGGTCAGCATGAAAAATTGAAATTTTCAAGCTGTTATTTTTGGAAGCCACTGTAAAGACTCAAATTAAATGAACAATTAATTCTGTAATAGTAATAAAAATCAAGGAAGACAATCTGAAAAACACGACCATCTAAAGTAAACTGCTGCATGACTCGGTCAGATATCAGTTATGATTTGTCTGTTTTCTACAGTCGGCAGAGATGTTCTCCAATAAATAAAGGCTTACTGCACATAGTCTGCAATATGAGCACAATCTGCAGAAGGAGCACAGAGGAATGCTAATGCAAGAGCTGCACACGGAGATTGGTAGAAAATGCATAAAAAGGCTGAAATATCTACAGTCTTCCTCCAGTTCGCCTCCAGTTATTGACTTTCTTCACTCGTCTCTTCACTCTGCCCCCCCCCAGCACCTCGCCTGCACTCAGATGTCTCTGCTTCATTGTACGCCGCCTCATTCAGGCAGCTACTCTGACTCTTGTTTCTTCAAGGACTGCAAGGATACAATTATGTGTGTGTGTGTGCATATCTATCGATCGATTGAGAGAGAGAGAGACAGAGAGATAGTTTGGCCTATCCAATGTTATCTTTACTGTGTGGACAGTACTTCAAACAGATGCAAGTAAACAAGAAATCCTAGAGACTTCATGTCAGATTCCTACCTATTATACTCCCAGAGAATGAAGCTAAAAGCCTCTGCCTAACTGCATGATGTATGTTTGACATCATAGACTGTGACTGGAGGAGGAAAAAGTGCTCTCGGGTCTCTGGGGCCTAACAGCAGCAGGGCCCAGAAGAAAGGGCCTGTATGACTCTGGGTAGGACGCAGTGATCCATGAATAATCACGCCGCACAAAGCCGCTGGCGGTGTCGCCTGCTCAGGGCTTTAGACCTAAAAAGGAGCAACATAAAGTGACTTCTAGTCACATCACTGATAATAGGTTTAGAAATACAAAAAAAAGGGTCTGACTGAGCTGCACAAATATAACCTTTCATTTATTTTAAGAAGGGTAACTTACTCCATACATGGGTCGTGCTTACCCCTGCAAAAAATGCCGTGCCGCATCTCTGCAATATTTTACAATTGAATAAATATGTATGATGAAGAAATACCATAAATAGACTGTACAAGTACAGCTGTATACATTGGACTATCATCAAACAGCAATTTACTTCATTAATTTGATTCTAATAGTAAAATGAATAGATTAGCTACACAGATATATTTCAAGCATTTGTTTCTGTAAATTTTGTCGATTATGGCTGTCTGTTGCTTTTGCTACTATATCTACTGTGCAGTTCTTCCTTTCACTTAACTTTCCATTAATATACATTGGGTACAGTGCTCTGTGAACTGCCAGATTGTTTTGCATTGACCTTTTTCAGGTTACCCTCCCTGTGGAGGGTGTCAGTGACTGCTGGACAAATGTGTAGTCAGTAGTTTTCACAAAAAGCCTTTTTATTGGTCCTTTGTAAGATTCTAATTATGTGAAAAACTAACCCGTGGGTTTTTCCATTAGCTGTAAGACACTCTGTACGTGATGAATCTTAAATACAGCTGAAACCAGATGTTTACATACTCTGCATAAATAGAAGCAAAACTTTCAACAATTCAAGAAAAACCTGGATGATTTCATTACTTTGTAAACTTCTCTGAGGTTAATTCACAACAATTGCATTTCATGTATTTTAAGGTAGCACATGAAACACACTTTTTCCTTGTGTGACACCATGGAAAAATACAATAAATAAGCCACGAGATCAGGAAGAGAGTTGCATCACATTCAAATTCAAAAATACTTTATTAATCCCAAAGGCAAATTAAATGTTATTGTAACATTGTAGGAAGAAGCCATCACTCCAACAACAACATGTAGAGCCAGATAGGTTATTTGCAGATCTACAGCCAAATTTGTTACAAAGTGATTAATAACAACAAAGTCCAGTGTTTTGAACTGTCCATCACAAAGCCCTGATCTTATTGCCTTAGAATATTTGTGGACAGAGTTTAGGAGGTGAGTGAACAAGACGACGTGCAAACCTGACCCAGGTCAACGAGTTCTGTCAGGAAGAATGGGCCAGAATTCCAATGAGAAGCATCTATAGAGGGATACCCAAAACGTTTCATCGGAGTCATATCGTTTAAAAGGCAATTCTACCAGATGCTGAGGAAATGTATGTAAACTTCTCAGATATAAATGAAAATAATGCTGTTTCTCATTCTGGAGAGAAAGTTTACTCTGCTCTGATGTCAGTGAGAGAAAAATAATTTCTTTTTATATGGTATCTAAATATCTGGTTTCAATAGTTTATGAATTGATTTACTGAAATAAACCACTGATATTCTGATTTATTGAAATGAATTTGTAAGTGAAAACATCATAGTGACAAGCATTTTCCACCACTTCTCACCCGGACTCTGCTCATGGCCTCCTGGGCCT